TTCACCTAACACCACAAGAAAAAAGGTAAAACAAATTGAGTGTTTGTGCGGAGTCTGTGGAAGCATACGGCTTACCATTTATCCGCATTCGTACACAAATAGACATGATTCTATTTTCAGTACCTTAGTGGTTATCCCTTTTTTGCTCAAAAATCGAACTCTGGGCACAGTGACGAGACCGTAAGATGCGGCCAATGCAGCGGCATCAATAGTGGTGACGTCGAAAACTTTCTTGTTTCGCATCATATATATGCTTCGAAGATAAGCAACAAGGCTCTGAATGAGAAAAAAATAAGAAAAAAAGAAGTATTCCTATTATTCTATTAGACGTGCCAGAAAGTTTGCCGTCACAACTCTTGCAAATATTTTGAACACGAACCATTTCGGAAGTCAGAAGGACCATCCCCGTTAACTAATCACACTCTACGTTCGCGCAAGTTGTCGACTCTCTCAAGAAGAAGGAAACTAGGATTTGAGGTAGGTATTGTAGGTAGGTAGTAGAAAATTTGAAACAAAGATGACCCCACAGAGTTTCTCCCAGAACCCATCTTTGTCTCTGAATTCTCTTCGTTTAGAAAGGGCTGAAGGTGGTCGAGATGCACGTAATCAGACGAAGCGAGGCCAGAGCTACAGGAGGTTCGAGGTATTATAAACCAGTCACGATTACGTCGTGAACCGGGAGAGCCATCAGCTCCAACTACGAGAGCAAGTGGGGCTAAGTTGGAGAAGAAGAAGCACAGTCGGCTGATGTTCCCTGAGGCACCTACAGACATACATAGATTAGTATGTAGATTCGCCCTATTCGACTAGTACGACTTACTGCAAAGAAAAAAAACTTGGAATGGCGCGGTTCAGGACTAGGCAAAGCAATTGTCGATTTCTTCAAGCCCCACTGCCGCCCTTTATAGAGGGGGAAAACGACAAGCCACACAAAGCTCGGTAACCTGTTTACGAAACAACTAACCATCTTGAGATCTCAGACTTGCATGCTGGTTCATATCAAAATATTTGTGAAAAGAGTTGTGGGCAAACTACTTTTCGACAAAACTGATACAACTTTGTAAGAACTCAAAAGGTGTCATTCTTTCAATTGTACAGTTTACACAAAATTGAAAGTTCAGAAAGGAATATCACCTTTTGTGCGAACTGATTCAGTTCAGGAAACTGAGAAAGTGTTGCTTGCATCTTCGTTCGTATATCAACCAACGCTCTTGGATCTGCGCTAAATTAACCATTATTGCAATCGGTTCCAAAAATCATACAAAAATCCTATTTACACCCACATTTGCTTTGTCAAAGGAATATAAGCTCGACGTAAAGCTGCGACCATAGGCTCCTCTTGAGACGATGTCAAAAAAAGAACAGCATGTCCAGACTGATTCATTCGAGCTGTTCGGCCTACTCTGAATAGAAGAAGATTGGGTCGTAACAAGAAGAACCGCACTATTTCTGCTATATTACCTATGGATATAGTCTTCTACAGATGCAGGACAATCAACTTGAACGACCCAGTCGACGTCAGAAAAATCGAGACCGCGACTAGCAACATCAGTGGCGATCATGACGGCTGCCTGGCAGAGGTTTCTATAGAATATTTAAAATTCAGAATATCAATATTCTTCGAAAGCTCAGTCCGCAAGAGTTCCTATTTACCAAGACATTGATATCAATCAAAAACTTAATCGTTTTGCCTACTTTGAGCATCAGTTCAGCACCGCTTCTCCTGAAGGCGAGGAACTACAACTTGGCGAACTCGCCGACCCTTGCATCAAAGTACTCATCTTTGCCAGTGTTTCCTACGCAGTAGTTGGGCGCAGGATAAATGGGGAACCACTTGCCCTACGAGCTGGGGCATTCTTTGCCGGATAGCCGAAGCTCAATTTGTTGGTATGGTCCACGTGGGTACGTCTCGGACGCTTGTTTCGTCGGATTCGTTCCACTTTTTCGTGCTTTGCATTCGCACCCGATCCGCTTATATCAGAGAGTGACTGCGCATGCGTGAACACTTCAGATAGCAATTTCATTAGCAATGGAAGCGTTCGATGGCGAGGCGTGGCCCCTGCAGCGGAGCTTCGTGTCTTCCATTCGAAGGCAATTACTCACGAGAAAAAAAATGTATTACAACAGTGAATCTTCGATAGCAAACACCGGCCCAATTTTATTCGTTGCCTCGATCACACTCACATACGGGCACGGACCATATTCCAAAATGCAAGAGCCCGCTGCTTGTCAACTGAAGCCACTCTTCAGCTCCTGTGACGGCAGCGGCCTTTGACGCCTCTGGCATAGAAGTGTGATGACAACAGATCATCACGCATGCATTGCCCAAGCCCATAAACACTGGAGGACACAAAGAATTATGAATTTTCAGAGAAATATATTTTAAAACAACCAAACACAAACACGTCATGTGGGGTAATGGAAAAGAATAAGATGATGATAGAACATGAAATGATACCTCTTTGTTCTCGAACTTTTGAAACACATCGACACGCTTCTTCTGGTTCATTGTGCCCCACAATCCCATCACAGGTAGCCCAGGGCGAAGATGACAAAATGCTCCAGTTAGGAAACGTGCCTTAAAGATAAGTGTATGAAGGAATCCGAAGTAACGATTCAAAGTAAAAGCAATGCATGAAAAGCGCACCCTTGTGAAGCTCATAACATTCAACTGTCCTTTTTTTTACCTTACTAGGGAAAAGGCCGATAGATCCAAGCCACCTTGGATCTTCAAGGCAGGTATTTACGCACATTCCAGTGCCTCTGCTGGATCAGCCGCATTTTGTACAGTTGAATTACACGGTGATTTTAGCCTATCCGATCAGCTCAATCGCCTGCTCGGGTAAAAAACGGGTCGCTCCACGACGATTGAACGGAAAGCGCAAAGAGAAGATATTGTGCTCCAAAATACTAACCGTAACATTTTATTAATAATAGTAAGATTCAATAAATCTTAAGAAACATTCTTAGTGAGCTCACAATTTAACTCCTCCAACAAACCTGTTTGCAGCTGGAAACGAATATGATCGTTTTTGATTTCTTGTTATTAATGATGAAAGACCACATCGTGTTGACTTTATCCTGGTCCTCGCAAACCATATAAGACTGTACCAAACAATCGGGAGTGACATGAGCACAACGCTCATGAGCTGACACAAACACTGGATCCTGTAATTGGGAAGAATTGCAAACCTATGTCACTGTACTGCTACAGATTTACTAATATTGCTGAAAAACGATATGTGAACACATCACGGCATACCTTTGTGCAGACCCGAGTCAAATCTTTGATGTTGCGAGTTTGAGTGGCGGAGAATAACAAAGTCTGTCGTTCTTTAGGCAAGTTTGCAACAATAGCATTGACCTAAATCTGCACTAATCTGCTTTTAAACCGATAAGCATTCACGAATACTGCCACAAGAGAATGAGGGTCCTAAAACTGAACATGGATCAACAATAACAAACTCCTGGAACTGTGCACAGTCTTACCCGGCCGGGGATGGCCCCAAAAACTGCGTCACTACTCTGGTCGATGACGCACCACACATGTTCAAGAATAGGGGGACGCGTGCAGAAATGCGAAGTTTTGGTGACCCATACCCGGCCGGATACTTGGCCTTTATGGACGCGTCCCCCTATTCTTGACCATGAGTGATTCGCCGTCAACCGGAATAGAGACGCAAGTTTTTGCTAAACCCGTCCTCTGAAGAACTTTGCTGTGGTACGTAGGGGTACCACCAAGAGTCAAAGGGCTAAGAAATGCCACAGGAAATGTGGGGAGTAAAAGAGCGTGGAGATCAAAACGTACTTGCTGGCTGAACCCCATGTCGAGAATTCGATCTGCCTCGTCAAGTACTAATATTTGTAGCTCATCGCACAGCAGTTGCTCGTTCTCGTCCATGTGTTGTAGTAATCGCCCAGGAGTGCAAATTATGATGTTAACTCTGCCAAGACGGCTTTTTTCATACTCGACATCAGTTCCTAAAGATTTCGGATAAGGCGAAACCTTAAAAAAAGCTCAAGATATAACTTACCTCCAATGAGTAAAGCACATGAAAAGTCGTGATACTTTCCAACATGATTTATGACAGTAAACGTTTGAAGGGCAAGCTCTCTGGTAGGAGAAATTATTAATGCGCCCAGACCACAGTAGTTAGACCAACCCGACCTCCAGAGAGATTCCAACACCTTAAACAATTAAAGAAAATGAAAAGTGTAGAAACATCACGATGTATAATAGCTACGTCATATAAGTAAATTGTACCGGTATAATGAGTGCAAGAGTTTTTCCGCTTCCCGTTTTCGCCGCACCAACAACGTCTAAGCCACTGAGCGAAAACGGTAGAGACTCTCTTTGAATGTCTGTCGGTTCCTCATAATCGCATTCTTTGAGACCACGGAGCGTTTTGGATGACAAAGGCAGATCCGAGAAACGTTTGAAGCTGGTGGTATTCGCCTGCAAAGACAGAGGTGACTCAAAATTTTATTTTTTTGAGCGTTAAGACACAATTTAATTATAGTAGTGGATATAGTCTTTTTAAGAAAAATTAATGAGGTTCTTTTGTTCGTCATTCCTTCGCACAACTAAAATGAAACGCTCTTTACTGCAGGCTATTATTTTCACAAATCTGAGCTATCTAAAAGAAAAGCTCTCAAAACTACATGTTCTAAAACTCTTTTGATAAAGATGTTGCCCTATTCCAGTTAGGTGGAGGGGCATCATGATGCACTTTCTCGGCGAACAAGTGTGAACTCGAACACCAGCTTTTCACGCATGTAAAGTGACTGCCCTACCCCCGTAGACTGGCTACACTCTCCCTGGCTCGGGGTCATTCTGGAAAAACTGCATCACGATGCCCCCTAACCGGAATCAGACCCCTTCTAGCACACTTCAGGTATCGCAACGAATATTTCAGAGTAGAACTTTGGTCAGAAACATTGGGATACAGGCAGGCCAACATGGACAACTAAATATAGATGATAACGAGGATCCTCCACTCTTTTACAAAAGGACAAAAACTCACTTTTGATAGCTCTCCACAGCGAGAAATGATTGATTCCATTTCTTTCATTTCATCTTCCTTCTTAGATTTTTTCGCTGCTCCAACCTTTTTGAATCGAGGTCGATTTTTGTACCTTCGCTCACCTTCGTGAGGACTCATAGCCTTTTCTACCATTCAAGAAGCACGCACCTGCAATTCCAAACAGAAGCACGTATCTGCAATTCCAACACAATTATTACTGAAAAAGCGAAGAGAGTGAAAACATATCGAAGGAAACAACAATCACAACCAATGGATACTCGCTGAAAACATTTTTGTTGCGATAGGGCAGGTTTTGGCTACGGAGCAGCATATTCTCATGGCCTTACAATATAAGAAGAAAGGAAAAAAAGAAAGATATAAAAGAGAACTGGGTGAGAAAACATTGCTTTGATATTTTCTTACGAAATTTGATAAGAATTCAACCAAGTTTTCCGCTTGTGTAGTTGGAGGGGTCATTGTTGTGGAATGATTCGATGCGGGACGCCTGAGTAATCTCAAATTTTTGCACGGGAAGAAGCGCCGAAGCGCGCGGATCATTCTGCCTCTATCTTCACACAAACACAACGGAGCAAAATCAACTGTTCGTTGTGGCGACTCAAAAATTTCCACGCCCCAACCCCTCCCTTCCCCCAGGTATTCGATTCTTAGACTAACAATAAGTAGCACACAACAACCTTTAGCTCCCCCAAAATTCTTCTCCAAAATGTCGTAGAGCAAGGATTTGTATGTGGCTGAAACAGCAAAGTCTGATTTCACCCATTGCAAGCATTTTTCATGAAATCTGTTGAAAATCCTTCAAAAACGACCCCCCCGACCCTCTCCGAATGCAACGCGACCCCCTCTAAAATATGAAATACGACTCTCATCCCCCATTACAAATACGAAAAAGCCAGAAACACGATCCTCATTCGAAAAACCCAAATGTGGACCCTCCCCTCCCCTCAAAGCTTGGCATCAGACGGCTGAGTCGCTACAACTCCGCGTTGCCCATCCGAAGGGTATTATCCAAGACCAGTCACCCGTCGGTATTTTCTTAAGGGGAAATCGTATTTTAGGAAAGACATGGGAAGAGGGGGTTTCCTGGTAAGCTTGAAAATTCCGTCGTCTCAACTAGTGTATGCTACACCCTCTGCAGATTAGAGAAACGTAGTTTTCAAAGCAACAACCTCGATCAAACTGGTGGGGTAATAGCGGTCGATCATGGAAGGGTAGATGCCGAACTGACTGAATATGAGAAAAGAATCTCAACGAAAAAAAAACTTGAAAGGAGCGAGTTCCTACACTTTAAAAAGTCATAACTTCCTAAAAACGCATCGAGTCGGGAGTGTTAATATGGCACCGTGACTACAGTATATTTTCTATACAAGGTAATTGAAATGACCTGCCACATTAAGGATGTCAA